GTCCTCTCTAGATTTATTAATCATGTCTTGCACTATGGGCACAATCTCTGCTGTTATCTGAGAAATTATTTCTGATTTCTTTTTTTCCAGATCCTCCTTTGTTGCCAGTTCAGAGAGTCCAGGTGGTTGAGCACCAGAGTGTTCCATCTTGTTGCCCTTTGGGGTTGCCTTGGGTGATCTGGAAGTCTGGTTTTGAGACTTCTTTATGTGTTTTCTCATTTCAATAGATGTAGCCTGCTGTGCCTTTGTTGAGGCAACTTTTTGTTCACCCAGTGGTCTTCAATTCTCAGCAAGCCACAGAGTTGCCTTTTCTCTGCTGCTCACCAGTACACCAATTTCTGGGTTCAGAAAGGTGGCCTTTTGGATCCCTTTGTCTGACTGGGCCTCTGGCTGGGGCCTGTGCACACTTGGGATGACATCTAGGTGTGCCACTGGCTAGGGCCCCTATGTAGCTGTTGTCTGGGAGGGTCTTTGGCTGGCGACTGTGGACCCCAGTTCCTGTTGCGTGAGCAAGCTTCTGGCTAGGGTCTTGCCCACCTACTGATGGTATTGGGGTGAACCTCTGGCTGTTGCTTGTGTGCCTGTGCAGCTCTTTTCCAGGCAGGCCCTTGGCTTGGGCCAGTGTGCCACAGCCTCTGGTCAGAGCAGAGCCCTGGCTGGGGTCTGCTTGCAGTCGCACTGCTCAGGTCCACACTGCTGCTTCCCCAACTAATGTGATCTGGTGTGCCTTAATTGCAGAGATTTTCTTCACTTTTCTGGTGGGCTTTAATTTTCATCAAGGAGCCTCAAAGAAGCCCTCTTTCTGTTGTTCACTTCTACTCTATCTTCTCAAGCTCAGAACAATGTCCTTTATGACTCCTGCAACTCTGTGGTGTGGATCCAGGTACCGGCTCAACACAGCCAGCCAGGGGCAGGGGGCTGCTAGCAACCACGCAGTTCACCTCCACAGTGCTCTGGGGTGGTGGTATGGTGGCTCGAGAGGCTCACCTCCTTGGTGCTCTGGACTATTTTTTATTTTTGAGACATAGTCTTGCTACATTGCAAAATTGCCTAGCTAGGCTCAAACTTGGGATCCTCCTGCCTCGGCCTCCTCCAGTGCTGGGGTTACAAGCATGTACTACCACACCCAGCTGCCAAATATCTCTTATTCTGGTCTGAAGAGAGAAAGAAAACAAGTTTTACCCTATACAAGACCCTCACATCTGCCAATGCAGTTCATGATGCTTGGAGAAAACAGAGCTAAAGTTCTACTTAACCAAACTTGACCTTTGCAAGGCCCCTGTAAAAATGTTCATCTGGATGTCTTGTGTTAGTAAACTTTTCCTGGGTGGTTACCATATGTCAAACACTGTAGTAAGTTTGGGGGATAAAATGAAAATGAGGCCCAATTATCTGTGAACTCTTATCTGCTAGAGTCACACTTTCTAAACACATGGTCCCTCTTGGTGCAGAATGCATGGACAGAGCACCTTTGCTTCCCCTGCCTACTTACCCTGGTATACAAACACACCTACCCTTCCCTTCCCACATATCTCAGCATGCACTCCCCTGTATGTTCACGTGCTCCATCTGTGTCCCCAGCACATGGACTGGCCTGCAACCCTCTGACCTAATCTGGACCATAGCAGACACAGGCTGGATGGTGAACATTTTGACTACACTTCTGGAACCTTGGGCTTTGGGAGCATGTACATTTATACATCTCTTGCCAAAGTTTGACCCACAGACTGTTTTAAAGGTAAGAGAAGACCCAGTTAGTGTGGTTTGGTCAGAGTGAACCCAAATTCTGCACAATCCAATTTATTGCAGTTGGCTTCCATTCATATACTTTTTGCTAGATCCCAGCCACATGAGTGGGCAGTGGTTGGTGAACAAGATGGGAATGGCCCATGATGTCATGGTGCTCATGATCTCAGAAAGGAAACTAACACATCTGTGCATGAAAGGAGTGTGTTCATGTGATAGGCTTTGTAGGTTGTTTATTCTCTCAACACATATTCAACGGACTCTTCTTCCTGTGTCAGATATCAGATGGGTGGAGACAAGCCCCATGCAAAAGAGGGGTGGAATATTGGAGGTGATGCCATCTCCCTCTCCTATGTACACGTATGTGATGTTTCCTTTTTTATTTGCAGATAATATAAAGTCCTCAACTTACGAATGTTCAGTTGCAAACTTTCACAGATACAAATGGACCTCGCACTATGAACATGTGTAGATGTAGCTCACATATCTGCCACACATTGTTCCAGTGGTACTGCTATGTGCTCACTGTACAATGGGACAGTGTACAGTAGTACAGTGCTCAGTCAGAGCCCAGGATGTCCAGAAGAAAGAGGAAAAGAAGTGGTGATGTGGACGGGACTGATAGGAAGTAATATACATTGTATATCTGTGTCAAAAGTGTATAAGACCCACTTTGTCCCACTTACAAATGAATCCAACTTTCAAACATTCTCCCAGAATGGAACTCATTCATAAGTCAGGGACTTATTATACAAGCTGAAGGTAAAATGCTTAGAGTGCCATCATCCCAAAAGTATGGCTTGAAAACCATTTACCTATGTTAGCTTGGGCTGCTACAATAAAATACCATAGACTGTACAGCTTAAACCAGTGGTCTCCTCCCTCTTTGGCACCAGGAACCTTTCATGGAAGACAATTGTTCCATGGGACAGAAAGAAGGCTGGCGGTGGAAAGTGGGGGAGTAGAGGCAGAATAATTTCAGGATGATTCAAAGGAGCAAACAACCTCAATCCCTGAATGCTCACTTCACATTAGGATTCATGCTCCTATGAGAATCCAGTGCCTCTGTGGATCTGGAGGAGGTGGAGCTCAGGCAATGATGCAAGTGAGGGGAGCAGCTGTCAGTACAGAGGAAGCTTCATTCACTTGTGCTTTCCTCACATTTTATTTAAATGGAATCGGACCATAAGTTTATGTGACTGGCTTCTGTCACTCACTATGTGAGATTAGCCCATATTGTTGCATGTGTCAGAAGTTTGTTCTTTCAAATTGCTGTATAGTATTCCATTTTAGCAGTCTATCACAATTTTTTTCCCATCCTATCACAGATAGGCATCTGGTGATCTTCAGTTGAGGGCTACTTTCTAGGATGAATTCTGAAGGACATGTAGCATTTCTTCCTCTGTGGAACTTAAGTGAAATCCACAAACTATAGCTATTCACTCCTATGGAGTAACAAGCAATAAAAATGGCCTCACTCTGCTTGCAAGATACAACCAACATTGGACTCCAGTTATGAGGAATCCAGTGAGGCGACTGGGCCATCACCTTCCTGGCCTGGGGACTTATGAGGGGTTGGGCCATCACCTTCCTGGCATTCCTGGGCCTGCAGATCTCTGTAGCAGTAGACGGCCACCCACATCTCCATTTGGCTGCAACACAGGCCCCCCAGAAGCAAACTAAAACATGAGTGATGTCTTCAAAAGTCAAAAAGTTTGGCATGGTCTGGGATCTCTCACAAGAGTCTCTTCAAATGATACTGTTATTCTCTGCTACTTTCCAAAAAGAATTAAATCAGCTTTTGTTGAGCTCCACAAACAAAACATAATCAAAACAAAGCATAAAGCTGTATAAACAAGACAAAAGATGCAGACAGTTGTAAAATTATAAAGTTCATTGAGAAAACATAGATTGGTGGTGTGGGAGAAAATAACCAAGGAGAAGTTTAGCAAGTAAGAAGGTAATTGCAAGTTGAGCTTCCTGAAAGCCAAAGTGATGAGGGATATAGGATGATTTGCATAGATCATACTAGCTCATCAAGATCACTTGAAGGAAATGATTGCACGATGCTCTTGTGTCAATATTTTTTGTAGACATTTTGCTTAAACCACTCTATTGGATTCTGCACAAAGCAAAGCCTGGGATGAGTCTGATATTACCTAAGGGGACATGCGGCAAATACCATTTCTGCCACCTGCTGGCTATGTGACCTCAAACAAGTTACTTAACTCTAAGTTATAGTTTTCCCTCCATAAAATTGGGATGAGAATATATACATCCGTAGGTTATTGTGAGAATTCACTGATATAGCACAAGTTGTGATAAGTGTTTAGTCATAGTCCTTTTTCGTAGCATTTCTTTTGAAATGTCTATAAATACTTTTAACTTCCCAAAGCCCTTTTTGCCTCAATTCTCTCCCAGAAACATTCTGACTGGAAATACCCTATAATAAAGCTGATTTCAAGCCAGGTCTGGTGGCACAGGCTTATAATCCCACACTCTGGGAGGCTGAGGCAGGAAGATTGCAAGTTTGAGCCCACCCTGGGCAACTTAGCAAGTCTCTCTCAAAAAAGAAAAAAAGATGGGTTACGTACATGTACCAACTCCCCACAAGGAATGTAATCATCATATACTGCAAAGATGTACCAAAAAATAAAGCAAAAGGACCAGGAGGTGGTTCATTGTGAAGGTCCTGGGTTCAATCCCTAGTGCCTAAGGGTTGGGTGGGGGGGCTTTTATCAGAAGATTCACGAAGTTGACCACGATCACGTAGCTAATTTGTACGGCATCTACTACTCCCTTGAAGACTTGAGGAATGTGTTTATGAGGGCAAATCTTACATGAGCAGCCTACCAGGATTTCACTGAAAGGCTCCAAATTAGTCCTAGCCCTTTTTGCTTTAATGATAGGTATTGGTTTCTCTGTTATTTGTGTCCTGAGGTTGTGTGGAAATTGTAAGGTTCATTTACACTCAAATAGATGCAGAAGACAAGCTAGGATTCCAATCTGGACCTCTATGCCTCCCTGGCTCATGAGTGTACCCACTGTACATACAGGTAAGCTGGGCACCTGCCCTAGTGACCGACATCTCACCTGTCTCTGTCCCTCCAGGTGCTGTCCAGCTATCCCATCAACAGCATGGTGGGTGCCCCCCTTGTTTACCGGATGTTGCTACAACAGGATCTTTCCAGGTGATGAGGCTGGGAGGTGACAGGGTGGGTAGGAGTCACTAGGCCCATCCCCAGGTCTCCCTCACATACATGCATCATGTTTGTCTGACCCTCTGAACATAGGTGTCCCCAGGGAGCCAGGCCCACTCAAACCACCCAGAACCCAGCTGCAGCCCTAGGCAGGCTTTGGTTCCTGGCAGGCTAAGGCAGAACACTTCTCTCTCTCTTCTTCAGTTATAAATTCCCACACCTAAAGAACTGCTTCACTTCAGGGGAAACCCTGCTTCCACAAACTCTGCAGAACTGGAAGGCCCAGACAGGAATGGACATCCGAGAATTCTACGGCCAGACAGAAACGGTACCTGTTCCCTGGTAACTTCGGGCTGGGCACGCCTGCTCGAAGGTCACTTGGATAATAAACATATTAGTCACCATTTATCTTTCACATATTTGATAACCATTTATTGAGCATCTACTATGGGAACAAAACATGGCAAAGCTCCTGGTTATGTGGGAATTACATCCCATTAGGGGAAGGATACAATAAATTAAGAAGCAGATGACCTGGGAGGTGGTGGAAAGAGCTATGGAAAAAGCCAAGCAAGTGAAGTAGGGCAAGGGGCTGGGGTCTTACTCCATTTGCTGTTTCTAGAATATCCAAGGCTGGGTAATTTATGAAGAAAAGTGGTTTAATTTGACTCGTGATTGTGCAGGCTGGAAATTCCACAACTGGGTGGCTACACCTAATGACAGCCTTATGCTGCTTCAACTTGTGATGGAAAGCAGAAGGGAAAGAGGGAGGACACAGTTACTAACAGCTCATTCTCATGAAAACTGATCCAGTTTCGAGAAAACAAGAACTCCTTCCCACTGGAAAGACCCTAATCGCTCTCAGGACGTAATCATCTCTTCAAGGCTCCACTTCTCAACACCACTGCAAGGGCAATCAAACCTCAACACGAGTTTCAGAGGGGACAAATGTATTCAAAGCATGGCAGCTGGTAATACAGATGTGGGAGTCAGGAAGGTCCTCTGTGATGGTGTCACGGAGACCTGAGGTGATCAATCATGCTAGGCACTGTACTCAGCAGCTCAGACTGAAGCTAGGGGTGGAGAGAAGAGCCCGGTAGAGCCCACCCTCCCTGCCCAGCTGTCCTCTTGAAACTCTTGGGGACCCATGTGCATGCTGGATTCACAGTGCTCTGTACTTCACTCCTTATCAACCACGCCAGGGAAACCCCACCCTCTCTCTCGCTCCCTTTCCTAGTACTCCTCCTCGGAGGCCCTAACCCTCTCACCTCCTCCTCTCTCCTCCCTAACCTCACACATTTCCTGAGCTTGGGCCCTCCTGGCAGAGCTGCTGCTGATGGCAGTGCTGTGAGATGGAACAGTCAGAAGAGCTTTGCCAATGCGGCTGAGGACAGTGGGGTGTAGCAAGCGCACCCAGTCAAGGGCTGCAGCCACTCGGGGGGAGGTGTGCTGGACCCCAGCAGGGTCCATCTCCATCCAAGCAGAATTGGCCCATGGGAAGCAATTCAGAAGCATCTTTTAGGCCTTACACACTGCTGACCAGTAATTATATCTGTTTAAAAACTTAAACTGACACTTAATGTTCATAATGATTGCACATGTTTATGTGGTACAGTGTGATATTTTAATACGTGCTTACAAAGTGTCAAGATCAGAGTTTTGGTGTACCCATTGTCTTAAGCATTTATCACTTCCTTGTGCTGGGAAAATTCTTTCCTCTAGCTATTTTCATATATAGTAAATTATTGTTGATGGCAGTTGCCCCACTGTGTGGTAGAATGTAGAACTTACTCCTCCTAACTGTATTTTTATAATGTGGTTGTTGGTTCCTCTTCCCTGGGGAATAATCAGTCTAGCTACTTTCTGAACAAATGTTTAGCGCAGGCCTTAGGACTGGGGTTCCAGAAAAAGGGATGAGCCAGGGAATGAGGTGGGAAGTAGCCACCAAATGTGAGCCAACTCAGAACCATGCAAGAACTGCACAAGTGAATCCTTTTTTTCTGTAGCTTCGTGCTTCCTCCTGAGGTTTACTGATCTGCCTGTCACTTTCCACAGGGGCTGACCTGCAGAGTTTCCAGCACAATGATAGTCAAGCCAGGCTACCTGGGAACAGCTTCTCCCTACTATGATGTGCAGGTTTGCTGGGGGCACTGAGGAGTGAAGGGAAATAGAGAAAACACTAATGGCTAGTAATTTATTAATTTCATTGTTCATTGAATTAAAATAATAGAAAGTAGAGATAGTCAATTGTTTAAAAAGATGGAAGGAGGGAAGAAGGAAAGAAGGGAGGGAGGAAAGGAAGAAAGAAAGGAAAAGGGGAAATTATATTCTTATCATCCAGAGAGAACCATTGTGCATATGAAACAAATTGACCATATATATATACATATGTATATATATATATGTATATATATGTGCTTTAAAAACAAAACTATGGATGTGTCTTGACATGACATTTTGTAACTTCCATTTATTATTTAACAACCTTGGGTACCACCTTTCCAGGTGGATTAATGCCAATCTACAGCATGAATTTTAATGACTAAATGGTAGTGAGTAGGATGACCTCACCGCTCTTTAAGTGGTTGTTTAACCTGATGGATGGAGTTCAAATTTTCACCAGTAAAAACAACAGTACACTGAGCTTGCTGTAGCTAAAGCTTTGTTCCTTTCCTTGTTATTTCTTTGGACTGAATCTCAAGAACTAAAATTTGTATTTGTGCATCTATAATTATGCATGTACTTCTGTGCAGCAAAAGTGTACTAATTTACACTCTGTTCAGAATTATGACATTATCTGTCACGCTGTGCGTTAGTCACCTTTCCCTTCCATGTGACCAAATAAGCTAAAGGAGGAGAGGTTTATTAGTTCATGGTCAGCCAGGTCCACAGCAGGAGTATCATGGCGGAAGGGCATGGTGGAGCAAAGCTGCTCAGTTCATGGTGGTGGGGAAGCAGAGCAGAGGGAACAGCACTAGAGAGAAAAGGCCCAGGGGCCAGGCACAGACTGAGGCCTTGCCTCCCGACCCACTCAGACACACCCAGCAGCACACTTTACTAATCCCCCAGGAGGCTCCCAAGCTGTTAGTTAAGCTTACCTGTCACACCCACCTCACTGGACAACCATTTACTGAGCTGCCTTGTAGAATCCTAAGTCACTTGTATAAAAAGCCTGTGAAATCAGCTGTCAGCATCTCTGTTTCACAAAAGAAAGCATTGAGGAATGCGGCTTAAGTAGTTCAAGGTCAAATAGTAAGACACCAGAGAGATCTTGAGTTTGGATCTTTCTGATTTTCAAGTCCACAGGTGAAGTAGCCTCTAAAATAAGGGGAAGTGCTTATTTCCTTATTTCCTCTAAGCTTCTAGAGCCAGAAGCACCTCCCCAGCCCATCTGGTCCAGTGTTCATAAGCGGCTTCCCCACTGGACCCCAGAGCAGTGAGTTAACCCTCTCTGCTCCCCCTGGCTCCTGGTTCCTGTTTTCGGCCTCCTCTAGAGTGAGAGTTGCTCCTTTTGGCCAGCCCAGCTCTCTCACACTGCCATTCAAGGCCTCCCCTGTTCTGTGGCTCATTCACCCAATCTGCTTCTTCCTCCAGGTCATAGATGATGAGGGCAATGTCCTGCCACCCGGCAGAGAAGGAGACATAGCCATCAGAGTCAAGCCCATCAAGCCTTTGGGCATCTTCTCTGGCTACGTGGTGAGGACCTGGCCCTCCCTCTGCCCCCTGTGGGCATGGAGGTGGCAAGTGGAGTGGGGGGGTAGCCAAAGTCATGAGCGAGCCCGCCAAGGGGCACTGGCCAGATTTGGGAACAGGGTGCCCAGTGTCCAAGAAGGGGTATTTGTTTGTCACAGGAGCGGACGCCTGGTTGCTGAAGGCATCCTGTCTCCAGACAGGATATAATCAGCTTGGGGTATAATCGAAGTACACGGTGAATGTTTAAATTTTAAAATTCTATTACAGTAAAAGGCACATTAATGCCACTGAAAATACTCCTCCTTGCTTCAAACACATGTATCCATCATTCTTGTCACTTTCTGAAGCAGTTCTGAAAGTCCTCTTTCTTAGGTGTCTTTAGTTGTGCTGACATGGCCGCCTTGATGTCCTGAATCAATTCAAAATATTTACCTTTCATATTTATTTTGACTTTGGGGAAGAAACAGAAATTACACAGTGCCAGATCTGGTGCGTAAGGGGGATAAGGACACACTAATATTCTTGCAAGGCTGTCTTTCTGTTGGATGGCACTTGGCAGTAGCATTCAGCATATTTTTTATCGTACCTTGTAAAGGCACATATGGAAGAGGACTTCCAGAACTGCTTCAGAAATGGCAAGAATGATGGGGGTAAATGTGTTCAAAGCAAGGGGGACTATTCCGAGGGAATTAATGGCCAGGTGTCTTTTACTGTAATAGATCTCTATTAATTGAAATGTTCATCATGCTTTTCATTTGCACCACTTGTATCATTCCATTCATACCTATAGATAATCCTTGAGTCCCCAACTCACTTGGCAGGTGAGGCTGGCAAAGCCAGAAATGCCAAGACTCTCTCACACCCCAGGCTGTTGGGAAGTGGCAGGTAGACCCCCAAGATAATTAACTGATAGAAGAGTCAGTACAATAGTAGCAGTTTCTGCCATTTATCACGTGTGTACTCAAAGCAAGCACTGTCCTGAAGCACCGCACAAACATTAAACTTGAGGCCACCCTATGGACTCTTCACAGCCACTGTGCCCAAGTTCAGACCTGGGTGCTCTGGGGTAAGTTACTGACCTCTCACGCCTGTTTTCTCATCTGTAAATTGTGCAACAATTAGAGATGTAGGAGGACACCGACATTGTGCTACACTTAGAGCTTGCCGCATCCAAGTTTGTGAAACAGAAGATTCCAATACATCCACATTGTTGTTCCCATTACACAGATGAGGAAACTGAGGCTCTGCGGTCAGGGTCCAGCCACACAAAGCCCTTCTCCAAGCATCTCCTGCGTGCCACCCCAGTCTGTCCCCACTTGCTGGGCACAGATTTTCCCCATTTGACAGACAAGGAGACAGACTCAAGCAAGGGGGCAGATGGACTCAAGGCCACAGCGTTAGTGCCGGTGCCAGCTGCACAGTAACCATGAGGAAGAAAGTTAAGCGGGTGATGAAGAAAGCTGGCTTCTGGTCTCAGCTCTACCGCCTACAGTGGCTGTTTGGCCTTGGACAGGCCTCTTGACCTCTCTGATCGTCAACAGCCTTCCATTCCCAGTGAAAGGATGCCCCAGGCGTCCTCTAATGCAGTCACTGAGCATCCAGTGGGGAGCCCAGGCCCCGATCTGAGTAAGAGTAGGAGGCACAGACAAGGGGAGACCTTGAGCCTTTCCAGCACTCCCAGCCGGGGCCTCTGCCGAATGGAGGGCCCAGGCTTTGAGAGGCGCACACAACGGGTGGGGCCCTTAGGGCTTGCCGGTCTGCCTCTGCAGCTTTCTAATAGAGACAGGACAAAGTGCATAGTCAGCCTGACACCCTTGAACGTGTCGTGGGGTGAGCAGAGGCTTGGCTGTCCATGGAACAGAATCAGTTTGGGGAAATGCCTAGAGCACAAATGAACGAATACATTGGGATCATCCATCAGACTAGACCCAGGGGATTCGAGGAGAAGCCCTAGGTGGAATGGCTGAAATAAAGGAGAAAGATCCGGTTTGACCTGGGACCTGGGGTTGCTAAGTGTAGGGCGGGTTCACCCTGTGCAGTGGCTCAGTTTGCAAACTGTACAACTCACATGGCTGTTCATGGTGGCCCCAGGGCAGGGGATCTGAGCTTTGAACAGGCAATGATTTATCTTTCTGTGGTCACCAGGACAATCCCAAGAAGACAGCAGCCAACATTCGAGGGGATTTTTGGCTTCTAGGAGACCGAGGAATAAAGGACCAAGATGGGTATTTCCAATTCCTGGGCCGGGCAGACGATATCATTAACTCCAGCGGGTGAGCGTGGTTCCGGCGGGGAAGGGCCCTCTGGATCTTCGCTGTGAGTGGCTCTGTATCTTGGGGATGGCCTAGGGGTGGATGTCTTTTCTGAAGGATGGCTTCTTTGAAGGTACCGGATTGGGCCCTCGGAGGTGGAGAACGTGCTGATGGAGCACCCCGCAGTGGCTGAGGTGGCTGTGGTCAGCAGCCCCGACCCCGTGCGGGGAGAGGTGAGGGGGAACAGCAGCCTGGGGGCAGAGACATAAGACACAGGGGCAGTGTGGACTGGGGGCTGGACGGCCAGGCCTAGGTCCAGGCCCAGCCACTCGCACCTGTGACTTCAGGCCAGCTTCTGAGCGTCTGCTCCTCAGTTTCCCCACCTGTAAGATGAGGGTTGGTGTGAGTCTTAGACACGTTAATATGTGTAAAGCTCCTGGGACAAGGCCTAGCACGTGGTCAGTGCCATTTAAGATCGGTGACTTTGGTCTACAGAGCTTCTATCCTGCTTGGATCCGAATCTGATTCCTGCCCAAGAGAACAGAGAAGGGATTTGAGATAAGGCCCAGAGGCCCTGAGCCCTGAGGTTCACAGGGAGAATAACTGCTGTAATACAGGATTGTATGAACACACCCCAGTGGAGTTGAACAGAGCTGAGCGCAGTGGTGGCCAACCTCTGGCATGCACAGCGAGGTGGGCTATTTGTTATCATTGAAAGTTCTAGAAGGTTTGCATCACTGGCTTAGTGTGTGTGTAGAGAAGGTCATGGTGGGAGGTGGGAGGCCAACTTTTCAGCACAGTGCTGCAGGGCATGAGTCTGGCAATGCCCTGCCTCTTGCAGGTATAGGGCAGGTCACGTGGGACATTGTGGGAGCCACTGGGCAGATAAGGCAAAGGGAAATCTACTGAGCTTTAAGCTAAACCCTGCTGCGTGTGATTTTATTTCATCTCATGGGAATTAAAATATGACAACTTTATACCCATTTGAACGATGGGCAAACGGAAGCTTGGATAAGGGAAACAAGTCGTTTAGAGCCATATCTCATTCTCTCTTCTCTCCTTGTATCTACTTTCTCCCCATCAGTCTTTTTGACTCTAGGACATGAGCCTGGCCTCCTCCTACAGTTCTACCTTCTCATCCCATAAACCTCTTGAGAGAGAGCTGGAACCCCAGCCACTCTTATCCCCAGTCTTTCCTTTCCCCTTGGCACAATATGGGAGGTCCAGTTGAGGGGATGTAGAGGCAGAGCTGTGATGGACATCTCAGTACTGATTCTGCAGTATCTCAGAAGGTAACAAATTTCTCCAATCCCTTCTCCCTGGTCCCCAACATCCCCGCTGTAGGTGGTGAAGGCTTTTGTGGTGCTGACCCCACATTTCCTGTCCCATGACAAGGACCAGCTCACCAGGGAACTGCAACAGCATGCGAAGTCAGTGACGGCCCCATACAAGTACCCCCGGAAGGTAAGGCCGCTGGGCTGCCGCATTCCCTCCCTCTCACAGGGAAGGAAAGAGGATCTCCTGTTATATTTCTCTTCTTCAGCATGAAAACAAAGCCACTAATTCCAAAGTGCTTCCTGACCATGACCAAGAAGGCCCAAAAAGACAATCTTACAACTGCTTTTTAATTTTTCTTTTCTGGTACTAAGAATTGAACCCAGTGCCTTCTCACTGAGCTACATCCCCCAGCCCTTTTCTATTTTTTGTTTTAAAACAAGGTCTTGCTAAGTCATTAAATTGCCCAGATGGGGCTCAAATTTGTGATCCTTCTGCCTCAGCCTCCCAGAGTATTGGGATGCCAGCCATGGGCCACCACACCCAGCTCTACAACAGCCTTGATGCCTGACTAATCATCTCAGCTTTTGACTCTGAATTAAAAGCTGAAGGCTGTCATGGGAACAAGTTCTAGCCAAAACCTGACTTATCTTGCACACTCTGCACAGGAATCTTGCTACACTATTCAGGATTATACAGCTCTCAGCTGAGGATGACAAAAACCTGACTTGAAATACGTTGCTCACACAGCTGACAAGTCCGGGACTGGTTAAAGCTTTCGCCATGGCTGGTCCTTGGACTTTGTATGACATGATCAGGGATGTCTCTTTCACTCCTTGACTTTCCTTCTGTATTGGCTTCATGTCTTGTAATTCTCTCCCACTGGGGTTCCAGCTGCTCCAAATACACATTATTAGCAGTTTTGTATAGTCCAGTAGAAAAAGACCATGAATTTACCCAAACAGCCCAGCAAAAGTCTTTGGGTTGATTCTTATTGGACCAACTAAGGTCATGTGCCCATCATTAAACCAATCATGTAACCAGGGCAATGAGATCCTCTAATTGGCCAGTTCTAGGTCATGTGGTCATCCTTGGTGAAATTGCAGAAAGGATGGGAAATAGAGGGCTGCCCTATACCCAGGATGTGGACTGAGTGAGCAAGAGGTAGCTCCTCATAGGAAGATTGAAGTACTCTTACCAGAAAAGGCAAAAAGCATCAATTGTAATACACTTATTTTTCCTCTGAGATGGGATCTGAGGTGTGAGAGGTGATATGGCAGGAGAACCCAGTTTTTGGACTTGGGTACAACACAAGAGCTTGTTCCTGGGAAAGAAAAAAGAAGTCTGGAGTAGGAGGTGAGAGCAACCACATCAAGCTGAAGGCCTCTTAGATTCCTAAATAGCTGGGCTGCCCACTGGCCAGTCTGCTTGACTCAATTGAGTGCCTGAGAAGCATTCCCCAGAGGAGGAAGTTAGCATGCAAGAGGTAATGAAGTGTTTGGAATCAACACCTGGGAAGGGAGGGGTCAGGCCTGGGCAGAAGGCGAGGTTGCACTGTGATTCAGTCCCAGTGGGGACATCACTCAGCCCCATGGGGAGTTCTGAAGCTAGGGCCTTTAGGAGCTGTCTTGAGTCAGGATGAGGAGGAGTAGGTAGATCAGACATGGGTGTCAGCTGCCCTGGGAAGCGGGTGTGACCCTGCATAAGACAGCACCTTTAGCTGAGCTATTCCGAGAGTGGGCTGGTGAAGGGTGGTGAGTCTTTCATCCTCGCTGGGTGTCTCACCTGCATATCAGAGTCCACCTTGTGGACTTTTGGCCTCACACTGAGGGGGAGACAACATAACACGCCACTAGGTTCAAAGTCCACTTCCACCATTTGATGACTCAATAGCTTCTCTGTTCTTTGTCTATGAAATAGGGACCATAGCCCTTCCCAGATGGTTAAGAATGAGTTCATATTTGTAAGGTGTCAAGCACTCAGAAGAATAACAGAAACACATGAACATTTAATAAATATTTTACAAAGGAGGCTAGAAATCCAATCACACCGAACATAGGACTTTTGACTTGTAACTGAATATTTTGGAAGATCCAGTGAGGAGCCCTATCACATAGTGTACAGGTCAGGCATTGCTCAAGTACCCTCACAGATATTCTTTTTTCACAAGTCTTTCCTCTAGAATTCTCAGGCAGCAAGTTCATTTACCTCCCCAACTCTGCTCCCTTCTTCCTGATGCCTGAGTAGTTTCCCTTTTAGCATTAAACCTGGATCTCCCCTGAGGCTTCTTTCTACTCTGTGTCCCCTACAGGAGCTAAATGGTTCATATTTTAGATCATATAGTCTTTGTTTCCCTTCTAATGCTAAAGCAGCCAGAGACAATACAATAATCCACCCTTATCCACAAGGGATCTATACCAAGGCTCCCAGTGGATTCCCAAAACCACAGATAGTAAGTACCAAATTCTACATATACAGTACTATATTTTTCCTATGCATACATAGCTAAGGTAAAGTCTAATTTATAACTTAGAGACAATAAGAAATTAATAATAATAAAATAAGACAATTATAACAATCTATAACCACAGAAATTAAAGCTGTGGGTAAGGAGAAACAACTGTCCAAATCAATAAGTGTGACTATGTTTCAATAAAACTTTATTTACAAGAATAAGATTCAAACTATGTTTTGCTCACAGGCCATAGTTTGTTAAGCCCTTATGGAGACACTCTCACATCAGCTGCTGAGAAGATCATTTTCTGTATCAATATCTCTATCAGTATTTTTATTAAACCCCCCAAAAAACTGAATCATGGGCCAATTCCATGGCCAACTGAGCCATATAACTAGAAGCCTCAGTGAAATATCTTCCACTGTCTCTTAGAATGTAGGGATATCAGAAATGGGGGCGGGGGGGGCGGTGCTCAGCTTCAAATATTTCTTATAACAGGTGAGAATAGAGAAATTCATGAGATTTTATAGTTTAGCCAAAGGCTTATCAGTGAGAAATTGCTGAAATGAAATTTAACTGAGATGGTATCCTAACTTATAGCTGTCTACTCTCACTAGTCCAGATTAATAAACATAGTTAATACTTGTGAGTGCTTATTCCTTGTGGAAAACTCAGCATGCATCATCTTGTTCAACCCCTACAGCAACCTGTTGAGTTTTTATTGTCTAGTTTACTCTGTGGGGGAACTGAGGCATAGAAAAGCCATGGATTTGTCCAAAACAAGGTAGAACAGGGACTGAAATCCAGAAAGCCAGATGTCAAAGCTCAATGTCATACTCATTTTGTTGTTTCTCCTCTGTCCAAGAGTATGTTAGAAACCAGTGCATTCGACTTTTATACCCAGCTCTAGCTGGCCTCTTCTCATCCCTGTGCCAGGCACTTTCTAAAGCTTCCATCCTTACTCACCCAGAGTCTCCAGACTTAAACCCTTCACCTATAGTAGCTCTTCTGAAAAATCCAACCTCACTGTGGTCTAATTTTTTCCAACAGCTGGAGTTTGTCTTGGACCTACCCAAGACCATCACAGGGAAAATCTCCCGAGAAAAGCTTCGAGCCATGGAGTGGAAGACAACCAAGAAACCCCAGGCCCAGTGAGATTCCAAGAGCTCTCATGGGAGTTCTCTTCATCATCCCCTTTCCTTTCCCTTTGGCTCCTCAGCCTTCCTGTGAGGATGAGATTCTTCCTCATAAAAGATGCATGTGACTTTTGTCTTTCCTTGGTCATTAGCCCAAAACATTCCCATGAAAGTTGAAAGAAGAAAGGAGAGGAGGGAGGAAAAGAGACAGAGACAGAGAGAGAGAGAGAGAGAGAGAGAGAGAGAGAGAGAGAGAGCACACTCAGGGGCAGGAGTTAATGAGTAACAGAGAGAAATTATTAAGAGAAAGATTGAAACAGCAAGGGAAAACAATTGAAAAAGAAAGGCAGGGAGGAAGTGACAGAAGGAGGAACAAATGAAAATGGAATAAAGGGAGGAAGAAAAGATAGAATTGGAGAGAATTGGAAAAAGGAAAGGAGAAAGAGAGAGAATGTGAGATCAACACATTCGAGTCATCTCCATGTCACCAAACCTTGGAGTTACCATGACCAGAGGCAGGGAAGCACCAGAGCTCTGTCCTAGATTCATTATAAAGCATCTTGCTTTCTCTCCGCGAGGCATCTACAGGCCTCAGATCACAGCTGTGGACACAATGTAAGCACCTCAAAAAGTCAGTCACCATGGCTCATGATTTCAGGCTGTCTACTCGTCCAAGATAAGTAATGAAGTCACTTGAAAGTCAAGACCCTGAGGATAGTCTTTGGGGAGGGCAAAAAAAGGCGGGGCTGTCTCTCTCCAATAGCTTGTGGCTGGGGAACACACGGACATAGGCTGGACAGGGTGCTGCGGAGGGAGAACTACAAGCTCAGCCCCTGGCACGTCTGAAACACTGGGTGCAAGGGTCCAGGAGAGAGGCAGAAATGAGGACTTGGAGTGTTTCCCTATAACCCGGGGATGAAAGACGAACCCTCCTAGCAGGACTGAGTAAGCAGAAGAAGAAAGCAAGGGTACTCTGAGAGCCTTTGACTCTTGCCCCTGAGATGTTCAGTAATGATAATAATGATAGGAATGCTGATTATTAGCCAGTCACTAAGCGTTTGCCAAGATATATGCGTTTACCAAGCCCACTTACAATCACCTTTGATTCAGGCACTTTTTCCCCTTTTTACAGAGGAAGTAACTAAGACTTGGCGAGATTAAGTAACAGTCCCCAAAGTCACACAGCTGCAAAGGACAGAGCTGGGTTCTAACACAGGTCTATCTGTGTACGCTAAGCTTTCATTTTTTTATATTTACTTATCACTGTGTTTGTCTTAGCTTTTGGCTATTGACAAAGCGCTTTTCTTACAATCTGAACTAGTCCACAGTCTCCAACATGTCTTCCCCAAAAATATATTTCAGAAATTTTTCAGTTAAATACAGTGTGGAAAAAGGAAGGGGGTACATACCTTGTTGTTTAATTAAACTTCAATTGTTTATTTTTAAATAAACTACAATAAATTTTCAGAAGTCAGACTACAGTGTCTATGAATGTCATACTATGCAGAGATTAGACCTCCTGAATTACTTTGGGTTTTGTTTTTGCTTTGCTTTGCTTTGCTTTTGAGATGATGTCTAGCTATGTTGCCCAGGCTGGCCCCAGTTACATATTGATTAGCATATCCTAAGAGAATCTCATAAAAATGTTCTTAATAAGAATATTAAGTCTAGAAGACTTTTGGTGGAGTTCTTGGGGTCTTCTATATAGAGTATCATGTCATCTGCAAATAATGACAATTTGACTTCTTCATTTCCTATCTTTATTCCTTTTATTTCTTTCTCTTGTCTAATTGCCGTGGCTAATGTTTCCAAAACTATATTGAACAAGAGTGGTGATAGTGGACATCCTTGTCTTGTTCCTGATTTTAGTGTGAAGGATTTCAGTTTTCAACCATTTAGTATGATACTGGCTGTTGGTTTTTCATTGATGACTTTTATCAGATTGAGGTAGAGACCATCTATTCCAATTTTTTGTAGGGTTTTTATCATAAATGTATGTTGGATTTTGTCAAATGCTTTTTCTGCATCTATGGAGATAATCATATGGTTTTTGTCCTTGGCTCTATTGGTATAGTGTATTACATTGATTGATTTGCATATGTTGAACCGTCCCTGCATCCCTGGGATGAATCCCACTTGGTCAGGGTGTATGATCTTCTTGATGATCTCATACCACAGTGATATATGTTCACCCATGTTCATAGCAGCACATTTGTAATAGCTAAAACTTGGAAGCAGCCCAAATCCCCATCAACTGGAGACTGGATCAAGAAAATGTGGGGTTTTTTATAAAATGGACTACTATTCAGCCATAAAAAATGAGAAATTAGAGACATTTATAGCTAAATGGATGCGCATTGAGGTGATACTCTTAAGTGAAATAAATAAGACACAAGTGTAAATACTGAATAGTTTCTCTAGTGTGAGAAACTGAAAGTATAAATAAAAACTAAAAGGTATAATAGATAATGTGAAATAGAAAGAAAAGGGGCAGAGGGGAAGGGGAAGTGGGAGGGGTAGGGGAAAGGAAAGAAAGGAATGGAATTAATATGAGAAAGTGAAAAAATGGAAACAAAGTCTTTGTAAATAGGGAGGGATGGAGGGGTTGAAGGGAGGGCAGGGGAAGGAGGAAAAATAAGAACCAAGAGAAATTATGTAAAGGTGCAAATTTCCAATGATGAGGGTCATTATATTGTTTACCTAAAATGTACCAATGATTAAAATGAATAATTGATAATACGAAATAGGAAGAAAAGGTCCAAAGAGGTAGGGGAAGTGGGAGGGGTAGGGGAAAGGAAAGAAGAGAAAGGAAAAATTATGAGAAATGGAAAAAATGGAAACAAAGTCTTTGTAAATAGGGAAGGGTGGAGGGGGTGAAGGGAGGGCTGGGAATGGGGAAAAAATAAGAACCAAGATACATCATGTAAAGGTACAATTCCCAATGAGAATGTAAATGTATTGTATACCTAAAATGTACCAATAAAAGAATTTTTAAAATGTTATTAATAAGAATAAAAACCTGTGAACAAGTACATGATATTTGGTAATAAATCTTGGCCCCATATCTTCCATGAAGATTTTCTTAATCAGCAATCATCAGGTTACAAGATGCCTAAACCTATTCAGATTGGCAAAGAATATCATATTTCAAGGGTCAAAGAATATTTCACAAGATCCGAAAACAGAACAATCAACTAGATCTCAGTTGCTGGCAATAACCTGGAGAGTCTTCAAAACCTCAGGGAGCCACTCCACTCAGCTCTATGGAACTTTCTTCCCTCTTCTTTTTTCCCCTAAGCATCTGCATCCACTTTGTTCCTTCCAAATATCTACATTGGGGTTGTAAAGAGGCCCTCTTCTGCCCTCTGATTTCATCAGCATGGTCTGATCTTCATCTAGTACAAACACGGCTACAAGGACTGACTTTTTTGGACTGGAAAAAATTCTAAGAGAAATGGGGTCAAGGATGACATAAGACACCCTCAAATTTGACTTCCTATTTAGACCCAAATTGCCAAGTTCTCGAAAGGCTTCAGCCTCCATCCCAACATCCTTTGATGCCTCTTTTTTCTCTCTTCTTCCTCAAGTCTTTCTTCAACACATTTGTTTATTTGTTCAGATTTAAGACTTGACTGAAGGCTTCACTCTCAAATGGTCTAGTGGGAACTCAGTAGGTAGAGAAAGTATCTGTCTAGCTGAGGCTCCCACAGTGGAAGACATTGAAAGATTTTAGTGAGTGACAATACCTTTGGACTAGGTTCTAGTTACCTGTAGGCCACACTCCACAGGAGAAGCTCCTTCCTGTTGTTTCTGCCTATATTTCCTCTTCACTGCGGCCTGCTATCTTCAATGGGAGCATTTTTGATTATGTCCCCTCACTCAGTACCCGGCCCATGAGCTCTGGCTTAGGGGTTAATAGTTAGTGGAAACCCATTTAAACCTTTAGGAGAATTCTTGGCACTACCCACATATAGAAGCTGACTCCCTTCCCTCCACTCTATCCCCTTCTGCATATGACTTGGGCAAAACAATCATAACATTCAGCTTGTGCCTTTCATAAAGGCTGCTTTACTGTGTCTACAATGGAATCATCAATTCTTGCCTTTTTCAGAACGAAATGAAACTCAACACCTTTACACGTACATACTGTACTTCTTTTATCACAAATTTTTCAAATCTTTCCACTTTGCTCCTTTGTGCACCTGATTCTTGCTGCAAATTTGGCTAAAAGCAGCCACTATACCCATGCTACAGACTGACTTGAAATTTCCTCCACCAGGCACATTAACCCATCACCTTTAAGCTCTGCTGCTCACAAAGTCTTAGAGGCAGACCAAACACATCCAAATCCTTTGGCCTGGAATAGCAAGGGTGGCTTCTAGTCCAAGTCTCAATAGTCCTCATTTCGGTTTTTGGTTTTGTTTTGTTTTGTACCAGGGATTGAACTCGGGTCCTTGCACTTTCGAGGCAAGTTACAGAACCTCTGAGCTAAATCCCCGGCCACAATAGTCTTCATTTCCATCTGAATTTTCTATTGACATTTTGTTCCTTTGAGCCCCCACCAAAATCACCTATTAAGCTCCACTTACAGAATTTTAGGCTTTCTCTAACCTGTTTATCCAAACTTTTTTGAACTCCTTACATAAACCAATTTCAAATGCTCCTCCATGTTGTCAGGTAAATAGTAATAGCAGTGACCTCACTTCTCAGTACCAATTGTCTATATTAGTCAGCTTTCCATTACTATAATGAAATGCCTGAGATAGACAGCTTATAAAGAGGAAAGGTTCATTTTGGATCACAGTCTTGGAGGTTTTGTCCATGAATAACTGGCCCTTTTGTTTGGGGCCTGTAGTGAGGCAGCACATTACGGCAGGAGTGTGTATCAGAGCAAAGCTGGTCCCCTCACAACACAGAGAGCAGAAAGAGCATGAAGAGTGGTCAAGATCCACTGTCCCATTAAGGATATATCTTTAAGGACATAAAGACCTCCCACTAGGTCACACCTCTTAAAGGTTTCACCAGCTCCCAATAGTGCCACTTTGGGAATCAAGTATTTAACTCATGAGCTATTAGCAGACATTCAACATACAAATGATAGCATTCTATTTGTAGACTTGCTGCTATTAACTATAGATAAAGGGAGAACTCATACATTAGTAACCTGGAGAAGGGGAATAATTATGTTATTTCATCATCAGGTTCAACTTGTAGAATGACAGAAGAGGTGGCCATTGTTTCACCTGGTAAAGAGTTTGGACTTCTTCCAAAGTGCAGTGTCATTAAAGTCCCTTAAAGAGGGCAAAAACCCAGTCAACAGTGTATTTTTGAAAGATTACCTTGGTCACTTGCTTTTTAAAAAGCCTTTCTTCTTGGAACTTACTGACTAAAGAGGAGACAGGGTTAAATCAAAGGGGCCATTGAAGGATGACAGCCAGAATTTTAATTTGGTAAACTTGGGACTACAGTTACAACTCTTTCTGAGAAGAGTAGCTTTAAGGTTGGAGCACTGAGTTTCACTGTGGTCATTTTCATTTAGCTTATCTATGTAAAACCAAGATTAATATGTGTTTAATGATCAATTGATACTTGAATTTGGAATCAGAGAGCAGTCAAGGTTTTAAATGTAGTTGGGGAGCCAGGCATTGTGGCACATGTCTATCATACCAGCACTTGGGAGGCTGATGCAGGAGGTCTGCCAGGAGCTCAAGGCCAGCCTAGGCTACATAGTGAAGTCAATCCCAGCTTAAACTACATAATGAGACCCTGTCTCAAAAAAAAAACGATAAATGAAAAATAAATAAATGTAGTTAGGGAATTATGCATACAGGGAATGACTTAGGTAGAAAAAGAAGTACACATGGAATAAGAGAAACTATTGAACAAAGTTGGGTCTTTGGAGAACAATAGTATCAGGAACAAGAGGGGCCAGGGACTTAGCTCAGTGGTTCCAGCACCTGCCTCACAGGCATAAGGTCCAGAGTTCAATCCCCAGTACTCCCCCTAAAAAAACTTGCCGGGGATTTAGCTCAGTGGTTCCACCACCTGCTTTGCAAACACAAGGTCCCGAGTTCGATCCCTAGTACCAAAAAGAAGGAACAAGATAAAGAAAGACGAATCAGAAAAATTCAGTTGTGATATCATTCCAATTTTAGTATATGTGCTGCCAAAGCAAGCACAAGATATCAAGAAGATAATAGAAAGAAATTCAAGGAGAACTGATTAATGCTGGCAAGAACAGCCATGAGTAAGAACTGCAAATGATCCATGGCATTTGGTAGCTAAACATTTAAGGATATATCTCCCCCTGTCTACCTCCCACTCACTCAAAAGAAGTTCAATTAAATACATGATGATAGAAAACTGATAGTTGTTGGTTAATCAGAGAAAGATGGAAAGAATTAGAAATAGCTAATATAGTCTGCTCTGGATAAACATTAATGGGAAGGGAATGAAAAACACTTCTCTTGGCTAGC